TTTTCCGAATGTTTGATTTCTTCAGCCGTCAACAGAAGGTCTTACTCTGAGACTTCGCTGAGATTCGTATATTTAAAATATGGCTGCTTGGAACTTTCACGTTAATTTATTTAATTATAATCTTCATTGAAATCCTTTCGTTATTATTGTTGTTATTGTCATAGCAACTGCTGCAGAGAGTTGCATAATGACCAGATAAGTAACAATAACACGATCGTATGAGCTGGATTGATCTAACTAATCGATACTCATTTCAACAATCGATCGTAATGTGTGCAGGACGGTTACACAAGGCTGACACTGCCCGGCAACATGTTTGTAGTCGCCATATCATTGCATGGTATGTGTTAAAAGTCCATTACATTAACATGTAACCTGTGTTTGTATGAGCAGACTTGTATCTAGTACGCACAGGGAAATACCACAGCCCTCTCTCAACATGACTCATTCTCCTCTCCCCACTTTTACATCTCTCCAACGATTGTATTGCTCTTGGCATTCAGTGTCAGTCCTCAATCTTGCAGATGCCATAGACAGGCCACTCCTCAAGTGCCAGACAATGGTCATGTTCGGAGATTTGTACCGTTCGGCTACATTTGCATACAACATGAACAGAGATTCCACTGTCCATTTTGCAAGGATTATTCATATATTCATGTTACCGGAATTTGAATTACTCTTCTTAGAAATATAATACCCATTTTTCATATAGATAATAAATTGACTCCGTATGGCAAGAAAGGTTACAAATAAAATCCGTATCTTTTATGGGAACCGAACATTTGTTACAGTATTACAAGAGAATGCCATTGGACCGTATTCTGAGACATTTAAAGCAGTTCCATTCCCTCACAATCTATTTATCTGTTTCTATATTTTGAGTTCATCCATCTAGGGTTAGGCAAGCATTCGGAGAGGTTATGTTATGTTATGTTAGATTAGGTTGCATGGTTTGGTTCGTTTGGGTTAGTGTGTGATATCTTGTCTTTAATTTGGATGAGGTACTTCAGTTTCCGCATTTCGTAGAGGGCAGGCTTTGCTAACGTCATTTCCCTCCATATGAAAGTTAACAGAAAATTGGAAGCCGGTGTCAGCGTCCATTTTTATCCATAATGAGTCCATCTTCTCCGCCATACTTACCTACTTACTCATGGAGCTGAGCCCTTCTGGAGGAGCCGCCAATTCTGCAGCTACTCAAGAATTTCCCAGCATTTTATGGAACCCGAAGGTTCAGTACCGTGTTCACAAGAGCCCTCCACTGGTCCCTATCCTGAGCCAGATCTATCCAATCTATACTATCCCATACTATCTCTCTAAGATCCATTCTAATATTTTCCACCCATCTACGCCTTGGTCTTCCCATCTTCTCCGCCATTTTCTGAAAAAAATAGATATAGAATGTCTTCAGTGTAAAGTATCTTTTTCGTAAAGTTGTTTTCCGTATGCCCTAATACTTCCGTTTTTCATGCGCATGCTCTCTGCATGTATCTCCTCCTCGTCTGTTGCCTGATTTAGGCTTCTGTTGTTTATACTGGGTCGGTTGATATAAGTTTAAGTAACAGAAGGCTCCCGGTTTGAATTTAGGCCGGGGTACTTGCTGTACTGACTGAGACTCTTCGTGGGTTTCCGAAGTCCCTCTAGCTAAATGCCAGTGTAGTTATCACGACATCTCGTTGAATGTTAATTTAAGCTTTTGGTGTTAATTTGTCCACAAACCAGCAGCCCTAAAATTAAGGTGTCATGAGAATGTATCCCATACGTCATGGCCTCCCGCTGCCGAAGTCACTACTGCTGTAAAATATACCTTCGTGTTTTCGACCGATATTTCTCAATAATTTAATAAGAAAGTACAACAACGTACTGATGGCGTTGACATTTTTCGCGAAAGCGCGTCTGACGAAAGAGTTGGACGCTCCTCCGTTCAAGTCGGCCAACCCATAAGGAACTGTTGCGTGGAGAACTCACTGTATCATCTCAAATCTTACGAAATCCCGCTCTGAAATAAACCGTTAATGACATATATATATACAAGAAGTTTCTTACTCAGTCTTGAAGTTCTTGCTTATTCTTTTGGCGAGGTTGTCAAATCACTTGCACTCCTGCAAGGTGTGTCATCTATCATCAGTGCCTGTAATTCAGCTGTACTGCACTCGAAAGAAAGGCTTGGAAACTTTTGAGAATATATTTAATAATATGAATAAACTGGGTCCTCTTACCAAGTTAGTGACTGAAACGTAAAATCTTGTAGCAGAAATCGTTAAATAATATTTACAAGCAGACAGGTTCGAAATATGTGATCGATCGTGAATACAGTCACAACATATACTTCCAGATAACCATGTACACAAGGAAGTAAGTTGCATGCGGTAGCGTAGTTGGTTGGGGCACTATGCTACAAGCCGGAAGGTCGCGGGTTCAATTCTCGATGAGGTTATTGGATTTTTCATTTCACCTAATCCTTCCAGCCGCACTATGGCCCTGGAGTTGACCCTGAATCTAACAGAAATAAGTATCAGGAATCTTCCTGAGGGGTAAAGGGCAGCCGGCGCGTAGGCTGACAACCTCATTGCCATCTGTAAGCCGAATGTCTAGTAAATGCGGGAGCTTCGACAGCTCACAACTCTATGAGCCTCCTGTTACATGGATACCTACGTCTTTTACTCAAAGAAAATTTAGAAACATGATAGTTCCCTTTGTGTCGTTCTACTACTTCTGTAATTAACTACCTTCATGTAAAATAGTCCTTCTTAAGAAGATGACAGTTGCGGAGGTAATCAAGAAATTCTCGTCTTTTATGGAGGAAATTTATTCCACACACTAGCGCCCTATTTTGTTTAAGATTCGTTTTAAATGAAAGGAAATGCGTTGAACAGCCCCTGTTTGAAATAGTACTGTGAGCTTTACTGACTTACATAAAGACTTCCTTGTCGTGTGATTTTATTCCCGATAGCTAAGAGCAGCCTAAAGAAACATGCAACTTCATCTAAGTGGGTCTTAGCAAGCGAATGCTTGGAAGATCCTATTTAAGAAATAACATTTTGATTACGGACTATCCATAATGGCGGTTCCTTATCATGTAATAGTATACGGATATTTTCACTTTTCGTGTAATGGCGCGCCGTGAACTGTTGAGCGGAATGGGGTTATGCACGAGTTTTCCTAATTTAGCGATGGATCTGCCCATTGAACCGAGCACTGTTCAAACGGCGTGAGGGCATGAACACACAGTTCGAGATATGAATACTCGCCGACACGACCACATGAGCCTTTCTGAAAGCGTTCAGATTTCAATAGAGTACGTAATAATTATTTGCGAAACTGATATGGTGATGTTCCTCTAAAGCTGATAGTGGTCGATTCACTTTACAAATATTTTGTAGTACATTATCCCTAGCCTGTGATACGGCAAATCATTGATGGTTTCATATGGAGCGTACGTTTGTCGGACACGATGTTTCGGGAACTAACTTTATTTCCGTCTTCCAGTGTTCAGCTCTTAGTATATATCGATCAATTTAGTATTTTCATTTCCACATTAATAATGACGGTTGGAATGGAACCAGGAACTCTTGAATATTAGACTAGTACGCCAGCTACTTACCAAATGTCTTTTAATGCTAGCCAATCGCTCGAAAACTGGTGATGTAAATCCCGAAACGTCGTGTATATCAAATACGAGCGTGCTACAGTGTTCAGCACCAAACATAAGTTCCGTATGACATCACGAATCTTCCAGTAGGTCTCTCTGTGATTATTTATTGAACTGAAAACAAATAAATAGGCGGTACAAGTTGCTCTGTCTTTTGTTTGTGCTTATGTTCGTTTTGTTTCTTTCTTTTACTCGTGCTTACTTTATAATTGGCTTTGTGGCTGTTGGGTAAGTACGTAAATATAGGAAAGAATTGAACTATTATTATTATTATTATTATTATTATTATTATTATTATTAATAGTAGTAGTAGTAGTAGTAGTAGTAGCAGCAGCAGCAGCAATGGCAGCAGCAGTTGTGGTAGTAGTAGCAATAGCAGTGGCAGTAGTAGTAGTAGTACTGCGATTGTTATTGTCTTTGCTGCTGCTATACTCACTTTTTAATTTGCCTTTGGATTGCTAACATAGCGCGAAAATAAGTAAGGAATGAACAGATTTAATCATCATGGGTTTCAGCTGTTGTCAAGCGCTTCGATGATTAAACTGAATTCGACTGAAGTGTTATCATTGTTCTAAATAGAAGCGAATAATCTTCTCTGTATGATTTCGTCTAAGGTTTTTTTTATTGCTAGTGGGGTGGGACTAAGTCCCTTGTACTGCGGCCACTTCTGGCCTATTGTACTAGCCCCAGATGAGAGGTGAGGCTGATTGTGGAGCAATTGGTGGAATGAAGATTGGCAGGGGAAACCGAAGTACTCGGAGAAAACCTGCCCCAGCGCCACTTTGTCCGCCACAAATCCCACTTGACCAGACCCGGGATCGAACCCCGGCCGCCGCGGTGAGAATCCAGCGGCTAACCGCTTCAGCTATAGTGTTTGAAGTATCCCGATACTAGAACCTTTCCAGCAGTATGAAAGTCGTGGTTGCCAGGATTTGTGAATGGCCACATATATAATATAAGACTTAAAGTGGCAGAAAATTATCATAAATTCACAAGAAATTATAATTGTAACCTCCAATGATTTTTACGGCAGTTTAGCTTCTTCTTAATAATCATCATCATCGTCGTCGGCACAACAGCGCTTTTTAGCCATGGCTTTTCTTATAAGATTCTGCTACATTTTATCCTCTTTTCTCTTTTATGGATTTCGCAACAATTTATTTTCTTTTACAGAGCAAGCTCATTTGTCTTGCGTCCAACCCCCACCCTGGAGAAGCAGGTCTCTGCATTTTTTTCCTNGCTCAAAACACTCTGTAAACCAAACAATTTTCCTAATGCACTTCATCTTCAATGTATATGAAGATTGTTTGGACTCACTTATAAAAATGTTTTGAAATTTATTTGCTTTCAGCGGAGAATTCCACTTGGGGTACCCCAGAACCGAGCTTCAGGGGGCGTCATGGTACCATCTGCTGCATTGGGACTGCATGCGAGAGGCTCAGGGCAAACATCGCCTCAGTAAGTACTTATTTCGTTTTCTTAATTACTTCCCTAGAAACTTCTCATATTTATTATTTCTTGTATGAAATACATAGAAAAAAAACTTAACAGGTAGGTCACATCTGTCTGCTTCTTCATATGTTTCACCTTCACATCCATTGGACGGATTTCGACGAAGTTTATTATTTCCAGTCTGTAGCAAAATTTGTCTGCATATTTTTCATCTTAATTGGGTGCATCCAGTTGTGTTTATTATATGAAATTATTTATTGGGAGCAATCTGTATTCCAACCAGAGCGGACAAAATACAATGTAAAATGAGGCACCGGTTAAACAGTAAATACCAAAAATACTACACCAATAACACGGGCCTCCAAGCAGTTAACTATACGTGTACAAGTCATGAATATACCGCTATATGTCCGCTGGAATATAACAAGATTGCAACAACTGACTTCATAATATGAAGCGTTACATGAATAATTTTTAACCATATTTTATTGTATAACTTTCGTCTTATAATAATTTTATTGTATTTTTATACTTGAAGCACAGAGCAAATGGTGCTCGTGATGGTTCAAGTTCGTATAGCAACAAGCGTGACCAGAGTGGTTTGAACGGCTGTTGTACTGCGATGTGGAAAGCAAATGGAAAAACTACCACATTATCACTTTTCCTGGATAGTCTCTTTCCAAAAACAGAGATACCATGTATGCGAGATGTTTCCTCTGGAGACAATTGGAGACAAGTGGAGAAACTGTTTTGGAAGTGACTGTGAACCTGTCTTCTGACAGATTACTGATGAATGAATGAATTATTGTAGTGTAACATAGTTGTCAAGTATTCGGTTCCAGTGTATCATCACACTGAAATGCAGTTCAATAGTATGTGAGTGCAGTAACCATGTATTTGCCTGATGATGGCTTTAAGAGCCGAAACATGTAGCTAAGGTGATGTTGACCTATACCGTTTCGTTGTTGTTACGACGGATCCCAATAAAGAATTTTATTGTCTGGATACTAGGGCCGCGCCATAGCTCAAGCGGTTAGTCGCTGGCTTCCCACCGCGGCGGCCCGGGTTCGATCCCAGGGTCTGGTCAAGTGGGATTTGTGGTGTACAAAGTGGCGCTGGGGCAGGTTTTCTCCGAGTACTTCGGTTTCCCTTGCCAATCTTCATTCCACCAATTGCTCCACAATCACCCTCACCTATCATCTGGTGCTGGTACAATAGGCCAGAAGTGGCCGCTGTACACGGGACTTAGTCCCACCCCACTAGCAATAAAAATTTGTCTGGATAATTCATTTTTGGTTATATCGAAACTTTTTTCATTACGTTTTTTAGAACGGATTCCAATCGCTTTGTCACCTGTATCTTTCTTTCTATAAAAATACGTTGATTTTAAAATATTTATTTGAAAGTTATTGTAGCCCAAGATTGAGGAGTTGTCTGTGCCATGCTGCTAAGTGGGGACTGGAATTAAATTATAAAAAGAGAACATCTTGCCTTGTTTCACAAGTGGATGTGTGGGAAGTCATATCCAGTAACTAGATGTTTGTGTCCAGTAGGAGGGCGGAGTGATGTCATGGAACAACAATAATGCGAGAAATTTTTACAATACAATTCAAATAATATTGCTGTGCGATACAAAACAATGTAATATATTGCAATAATGGCACTATACACAATTCAAATATACAACTTAATTCAGTGCATAGAAGAGCATTGCTATTCGCATTGCAGGAGAGTGTAATAAATATACAGCGTAATGGAAACAATGGATATAAAATAACAGTAAAATGGGATACATAAATTATGATAGGAAAGGAGTCGATATGATAATGTAACAGAAGTGGGCTGAGGTTACTGAGTAAAGAGTTCAGGTTTTGAAATGTTAACTATGCATAAACACGAGAAATATCAAATAAATAAATATTGTTATACACACGAGAACATAACCCGAAGGCTCCGATGGAACTGAATTAAGTTCGTGTTTCTATAAAACGTCAACGGTGACGCTGTATGGATTAAGCAGGCTACAATGCGAGCACATCGCGTAACAATTGCGGCAGTTCGCCTGTGTAAAGTGTACCACTTCTTTTGTGACGATTTTCATGAAATACGACAAAAAGGCTATGTCAGCCCGCCAGATCTTGATCACAGTAAACGCTCGATGATCAGGATTAATTGGGGTGAGGGATCATCCGGATTAATGAAACGAAGATAGCCCTTAAAGACAACAAATAAATAAATACATAAATGGAAATTTTAATAATATAGGCAGTGCTGTTGAAAATAAATATCACTCTAGAGCCTTTATTTAAAAGCTACATAGAGACAAAAAGTTGATATCCAGGGTCTCCTTCAGCCAGCTCAAGCCAATCTTGGGTAATTTTTTGCTTGGTTTCAGTCTTCCCAGCTGCCCTCAACAGAGTACGAAGGCGGCTATTGCTCTAATCCCTCTTGCTTCTAAGTCCCATGTGTGTTTTAAAGCATGTGCCTAACTACGGACATATTTTTGTTTTCATTTTTCACAGTTCTAACTGGATTTTCCGACATTCGGAATAACTGTAATTGGATTAGCGAGAGTTTACTGTAATGATATGATGCATTTGCTTAATTACCTCCCTAATACTTGCGGAACTATTTTGTTGCGCTTAAATAGGTTTCATTTTTATCTGCTACTTCTGCCTAAAACATTCTTCTGCCCTATACGCATTTAGCTTCTTAACGTTCATGTCACCCTCGAGACATGCGCAGAAGCGTACGCCTTACGGCTTACCACGAATATGGAATCTCACAGAAAAAAAAAATCAATATAAAGTTTTCACAGAAATTACTTTGGCTGCCGTCGTGATGATAAAGTCTTATAGAAATTGGCTTTAGTTCGTATTCTGAAGGCGGATTCTCTTGTGTTTCAGTTGCACAATCCGAACAGGACCGCTCATGCATCTTGCTCCTACGCCTTCAGCGGCGGTCTGGCGACTGGTTGTGGGTCCATTGTGTCCTGCAGGTTAAGGATAACATGGAGAATAGTCAGCAGCCTGTCATCGTCTGCACAAACCAGGTCCTTAGGTAAGCCAATAGCTGCCCTTTCATAATACTTTCATTGCTATTCCGTCTAAAATGTAGTGAAAGTACAGTTTTATACCGAAATGACATTCCTCCCAACGAATTGAGCTGTTTAATTGATTATTTGCATGGTAATTGGAAATAAATTAGTGAAATATTATTAAAATTGGATAGACTTCCTTTTTAAGGCGGTATGTTCCGCCCCACATGGCCTTCTAGAGAGCTCTATGGGCACACTCCCGCTTGTTGGCTTTTGGATCTGGTGTCAGAAGTGGGATTTCCTTGACACTGACGCCTCTCATCTTCAAACGAAAGCACAGATATTTCTGTGAGTCCGAAAGTCGGATTTCTAGGCGTCATATCACATTGTTCATCCACTTGTATTATGACTGATATAAAAATCATAATTTTGTGTTATTCTAAATACATAAAATGAACAGTTAGTTTTATTCCGTTGCGGACCAGTATGACTAAACTTAGTATTCTGCAGAGTCTATGTCCAGGCTTATTGATGTTCTAAAGGAACTCATCATGTGAAAATGCCGTTAGTAGACCATCACGCACAACAAGGAACAGAGTTTGAAATCAGATCGAATTACAGGCATAAATTAACAGGCTAATATTGTAAGACAATAATACTAAAATAATATGTGCCCAGTTGTAGATCGCCGATCACGGTGGCCGCGCGGTCTAATGCACGAACCGTCTTCGCCCGCTCGAACACTGGGATCGTGGTGTCGAATCCCACTAGAGGCATGGATGTTTGTGTTGTGCGCGTTTATTCTGTGTTTGTGTTGTTTTTGTGTAGGTAGCGGCCTTGCGACGGGCTGATCCCCCGTCCAAGGAGNCCCACACTTTGATTGCATTCTCTACCACAGTTTTGGTATTGTTTAAGACAGGGGATATAAAGACACCTAAGAAATATCCTACGATTTTATGCAAACATTTAATGAAAATATATCAGCAGATCTAATTTGCTTTTGTTGTCGTCGTCATTGTTGAGTAACACAATTCGTAATAACTCTTTGCCTAACATTATTCCTTTTTGTAATAACAAAAATTATTAGCAAATTTAGTTGTACAACCTTCACGACATGGCCCCGATGTCGGGTGCGGCAAGCAGAAAACCTGATTCAAAAGGGGCAGACATTTGTAAAAAGCGATTATGTAAGGTTGAGCTCTGTTTACAAAAGCTAACCACCAATCATTGTCCTAATGGCTGCAAAATGCTTAAACTGTATTGTTATGCTCGTTTCTCTCTTGTTGTACCGATTTCTTAACTGCCTCTTATTTATGACTGTTCTCTTGGACTTCATGCACTGGCCCAGCTTTTAACAATTCACTAGACACGTTTGGAAAAGTGAAGCAGACTGAAAAATTAGAATTTAATGTCATGAAGATGCTTTTAAAACTTATTCAAAAGTTCCCATCGTCAAATCTAGTCTGGGATACCGAATATTCTAATTGGATTTCCCGTTGTTTTCCTCAGTCCGTCCAGGTAAATATTGGTTCAGTGATTTATATAGGTCACGACCACTTTCACTACCTTTGTGATTCGTCGTTAATAATCATATAATTATGCAAAGCTATGAAATCTATGGATTTGGAAAGTCGTCATTAAATAATCCAAGACGACAAAGAATGTTTCTGGAAGTAATTTATATGCGACCCACCTACCACGCGTCCTTCATCTGCGAAACGTTTCCTCAAACTAATATTCTCCGCGCACCGAGTAATTACCCCCTCAAGAAGTCGAGATGCATTACTTGAAATAAATGGTGTGTATAGTTTTTTTTTTAATTTACGCAAAATAACTTTAATCTTGTCTCTGCCGCTGCATTACGAATACGACATTAACGTAAAAACTTTACTTTTTTATTATTTTAAACAGTTTATATTGTCGGTCTGGTTACAAGATAGCTTCTGGAATTACGAATGCACAAGAGTGGAATAAGGAACCAAGTGCGAGTGTTGTTGGAGACCGCTTGGATTATGGGTGCCAAGATCAGTATGGACTCGTTGAAATGTGTTGCCCTTGCTAAGGAATTCGCTGTCATGGAACCCAAAGAATGGTCGTCGTAAAATAACCCTCTGTATAAAATCCCTAACATAAAGGGCAGGTGAGCCGATTGGAGTGTCGCGAGTTCGATTCCCCATGAGGTCACTGGATTTCTCAACTGACGTAATCCTTCCAGCCGCACTATGGCCCTGGGGTCGACTCAGCCTCTAACAGAAAGGAGTGCTAGGAATCTTCCTTGTCTAGAAAATGTGGGAGCCTCGACGTCACAATCCTATTGGCCTCCGCGGTCTGTTACAGCGATAGCTTTACCTTTTTTACGTTAGCTATTCTGCCCTTTATGTGATTGCCACGTTCAAGCTTGTCTGTCTGGCACACTCTTTTGGATGTACTTAGGCCTGTGCTGCAGTGAGAAACGCGTCTGCTGCCAAGCCAAGTGTGAAATGCGACCGCAAAACATTACGCCGAACGCAAACACGGGCCGTCTTCCCTGTAATACCATTTTTACAATTTATTTTTAGGTTAAGGATGACTGACCTAGACACTGTAATTATTTGACAGTAGGAGGGATCGAGTCAGCTCCACGGATTTACCTCTTACCTCCCTCTTAAAATGAGAAACATTTTTGTTTCAACGAAAAGAACATAAAACAAAAAAGACTGTTCCTTTCGTGCCCTCTGATTTACGTCCAGCCTCCACTTGTTGTATCATGACTCACACACAGCCTTAACAATAATTAGTTTGGGAAAATAGACAAGGAATTTATTGTTTCCCCTGCAAGCAAGAATGATACATCCCTGAGTAGCAGATCCAATATTAGATGCATGCAATCATCCCTGAGAAGCATGTGAATGCTTGCTAATTAACGGAAACATAACAACTCTTAAAAATAATGAAAATGCTCTAAGAAAACGACTGAGGCTGGAAACTTCTGTTTTTAAAAAATTTATATCGTACTATAGGAGATTCGCTGCGCTGACGACGCAACGCGCTCTATCCGCTAAAGCTGGCACTAACTTCGCCGACAAGCGGCGGTCACTCGGTCGGTATAGTTCGCTTGTGGACTAAAATTACGGAGTTTTTTTATTGTAGGCCTTAATATGAGCCCGAATGACGGATTTAGTCGGAATTCGATCCCCGATAGAGAAAACCTTTTTTTCTGTTACATTCGTTCTCGTCTCGGAGGCGAAGCACGCCACCCACTTTTATCTAATACGGAGATCGAGAGGTCGTGGAGTTTTATCTCCACGTCTCCTACACGACTTTACATATTGCATTCTCGAACTTATATTTATATTTAAAAGACTTACATTCATTTATAAATTCAATAATAAATTAAAGTGAATTTTCATCTCCCCTCCTTGAAAGTTTTTATTAAAAAGTAAAGTATGGATTTTAACAGTGTGATGAAATATTTGGCACATCATAAGATGCTGAAGCAAAAAAATACCACTCATTGTCAGGATCCGAATTCGACTCTTTCAGTCCACCGTCACGTATTTGACTGAGCTGTTATTGTTGCAGTGTCATAAAACGACTGAATTAAATCGTTTTAAACTCTGACAGATTTAATTCACCACGAAACGTGATGTTGGAAAACATATAATTAGTTCTTTCTGAATCTCGGAATTATGCCATGAAGACCTGGGGGTAGGGGTGGAGGTAAACCTCCACAACTTCTTGACCTCGGTCTAGACTGAGACGAGCTACACACTCCTGCAGTTATACGTCAGGAATGAATCCCCAATACCCTCAGGGAAGGATGCGGGGTAAGATTCAAAAGCGTCTGGACACGGTGAAAATAAGAAACAACCGCTCCCCTGTCGGTGGAAGAAATAAACAATTCTGGTCATGTCAGAAATCATGTCCTCAGGCCAGTCATTTTAATGATTGCATTGTCTTGCTGATTGAGGTTAAGGAAGAAACGAGAACACAACAACCGAAGGGAACTTTGCTAGTTGATTCAGGATCGTAACTCCACCGTCCGTTTTCGAAACACAGAGTACTGAAGTTGTTCTTCATGACATTGCAGCTCACATTTTTATTTTGAGGCTCAAGAACTGTTAGCCCATTAGTGCCATTACTATTATTAGTATCGTGTTTTCTTTCTCCAGTGCTTGCCTGTAATTTGTCTTTTTTCTTTATGTTGTGTTTGTCCTTAATGTAATTACCAGTATCTACACTGCACTATCTCTGTAATTTGTCTCGTTTCTGTTCACTTTCATTCACTCATTCATCAATGGTTGTTGGGTCCTGGCCTCTTCTTCAGTTTCGTTTCCAGAGAAGGTAGGACTCCTTGGACGAGTGATCAGCCTGTCGCAAGGCCGCTACGTAAACACAGGACAACACAAACACGGAATAAACGCACATACAAACGTCCATGCCTTGAATGGGATTTGAACCCATGATCCCAGTGTTCGAGCGAGCGAAGACAGTTCATGCCTTAGACCGCGCGGCCACTGTGATAGGCAGCTGTTGACTAGGCACTTAAAGAATAAAGAATATTATTATTATTATTATTAAGAGGAAGAAACATAAGTTAGACCAGTTGAGAGGAAACTAATGCGGAAAATATTTAATCTTAAGTGAGATTAAGTGAGGGTTTAATAAAGGAACGAAAAAGGGGGTATCTTCTGTTATACTATTCACCAATGTTGTTATGTAAATAATCGTTTTGATGATAACATGACACGTCGACTTCAGACTGGCCTTGTCTGCCTTGGATATTATTTGTGTGCGTAACATTTAGAGAAAGCCCTGCTGCCATGTCTAGATATTCGCATAGTACAAGTTTGTAAATTTCTATAAACTTACTTCGTAAAATACAAACATAATAAGATATTGTTTTCTAAAGAACCCAGTAGAGAAGGATTTATTTTAAGATGAACTTTACACGCAGCACGAATGTTTAAAATAGAGTTAATATAAAAGTTTTCTTTCGGAGATAAGACTATAAGTAGCAAGTTGATATTAATTAAAAGGAATG